TTCTGAAGCTTAAAAAAACAGTTTTGACATAGTCCAGAAACATCGTTTGGAAGTAAGGTAGATAAATCTGAAACTGTAATCCCGAAAGGTTTTGGTGATATACCCTCAAAGGCCACTTCGACCAAATATCTTTTCCTTGATAATTTATTGGCGATTACCAGCTTTATTGCCAAATTTACTATCTGAATGGTTAATGTTATGAGAAGAATTTGGCACTTTTTCCTTTGGAATATTTTCCACATCTGAACAACATTCGAGTTTTAAAAGCTTGATAAAGCAAATCAGATGGCGGCTCTACTCCTTCAATGTTTTTAATGATATAACTTTCAGTCAGCACCTTACGAACAGAGTCATTGCCGAACCACTTTTCACCTCTTGAGCAAAGGTAAAGTGTGCAAAGAGTTCCAAATTTTGTTATCGGAGTGTTTTGACCAGCTAAATCCCCGTATTCACCATACCACGCACCCAATGTGATTTTTCTGCTTCGGTAAGGTCAAAGAGCTTCGTGTTCTTAATGTCAGGATATCCATCTTTGCAGGAGCAGTGCCCTTTCTGTTTGTCATACAAAGCATATTTGTGGCAACCAAAAGCACTTTCATCTTGCTTTATTTTGGAAGGTTCTCCTAAACGGAAAAATTTCTGTTTGTGTGATTGTAGGACGTCAGCACAAAATAATCTAGATGGAAGAAAGGAGAAATGTTTTGAATTAAGGCTACTAAAAATGATCATTGAGTTTTACGACGCAACTAAGCGATAATGTGATTTTTTAGACTGCGGATTTGTAGATCAGAGAAATTCCGTTCTTCAATTATACAGACACTGCGTAAATATTAAAAAAGAGCTTTACCAGATTTTACCGCACGATCTGATGATAGAAGTGGTTACTGAATTGGGCCTACGTATGGATCACTTAGTAATACACGAACGCTCACAATGTTACTATATGCTTTTACTATGGAAGCTAGTGCTAGTAACTTCCAAGATGCAAATGGATCAGAAGATGCGATTCCGTCGTTTTCTCTGCCAGTTTGTCGTTATTAAGTGGCTCTCGTTATCTCAGCAAGTATTAATGAATCCACTGGCAGCGAGAGTGCAGGACTGGACGAATGGATCGAAACGAGGGAAAAGAGAAGGAGGGCAGGAGAGAGGGGGTGGGGAGAGGGAGGAAGAGCGGAAATAGTAGGAGAAAAGTACACAACAAGCTAAACTTCCACTATTACAGCGTATACTCTCCCTCTCACCCATCCTTCTCACTTCCCCACTTTTGAATCTATTCCTCAATATTAAAAACACACTTCACCTGAAGATGACAACTTACCAAATGTGCATATTACGAACAGACGAGCAACTGCTGGTATGTCAACAAGCCCTTCTTGCGAAAAACCAAGCCCCACGCGTGGGGTGATACCGCACGTTCTGTCTGGGTGCCCACTTCGCCACAGTTCTGATGCGCCGAGAGGCTGCAAAAGCTACTCTCAATTGTCCTTTCACATACAGTTTTACTGTTTTGGAGTGTAAAACACACCATCTCGTGCCAAGTGCACTAAATCAACTCATGTATAGGTAAGGGTTGGCAAGACTAGCATTAAAGCGAAGATGGCGTGGTAAAGGATAGCAAGTTAGAAATACATCCTGCATAGCTCTAGGTGTTCGCCTTTATTGCTCACATTTAACGGGCAGTACACTTCCTTCCTCATCATAACGGCAGTATTACAAATATTGCTTCTCGCAAAACAAATGGGATTCCATATTCTTTTTTGTAATCTATAATCTAGCACCTGTTCTCCGTCTGGAAGAAAAATTTTGAAGCTGCTTCGATATGTCTCAAATTCGGCGTCTCTGTTGCAGGAATCAAGATTTTCCTTCGCCAAGCCTCGGTTTCTTTCTCCTTCAATCATAACCATGTTCACCTTCTCCTTAAATAAATGTACATCTAGCTCTGATTGCCTCTCAAAACTTCTAATCAGTATCACTACTTGTAGATGTTTCCGATTAGCTCAATCACTTTTAAAGAATATAATCAATTTAAGCGAAAATTGGTAACGTTATAGACGTTTGCTTGTAGTATGAGGTAATTTTGAACTAACTTTTTTAAGGAACTTTTTCAAGTCGTTTGAATCTGAAAAATCAAGTGGCGACGCCATATATCCTTTGGTTACGATCTAAAGCAATTTTTGACGTAGTCTCGACTTCAAACTAAGAAGATTTGATGCGATTTTTTGCTAGAATATTTGAGAAGTGAGTTCTGCACCTTGCAAACATCATTTCGAATCTTTCCAGCTTGAAATTTGCTGCCCATGGTAAACATCTGCGGTTCTCGAAATATAATAAATGGCCTTGTTTTATTTGAGTTGTCTTTGTAGTATGCAGCTGGGAAGCCAATTTTTCTCAGTCGATCTACCATTTTTGGAATATCTGAATGATATTCTTCAATAGTGAACACATACATAACCCATTTAATTGTGAAACAAACATACAGGAGGGCAGTTGTTTGGCGGCATAAGAGCAAAGGACGGGAATTGATGTTTCTTCTGTCACCTTGGTGACATCTCCTACTTGTAATGCTCCTCTCAAACTTCTGCTTGTTAAAAGGGCTAGGGCATGTGAAGAACCCTCGATAAGCCGACCATATTCACTGTTTAGAACTTTCCCTGAAAGACGTATTGTATTATCATTTGCTGGACATGAGAAGAAAAGCGAGTGCAGTAGGAATTTGATGAATGGGAACATGTGAAAAAAGGATGTCTTAGCAAAATCGTTTTCAACGTTTTCTTTTTTTTT